AAACATCGGTGTGTTATCAACATTGTTCTCACCCTAAATCCAAAACACAGCACTGTACCAGATACTAGGAAGAAAATTAACTCTATCCCTGCCGAAACCAGGACAGTGATTAATATTGTTTCACAACACACAACAAACGAGAAAAATTACTGTATTTTGTACGAGAAGAAAGTCTTCCAAATTTTTTTAAGGGTTTAATGTTCTAGATAGATTATCAAAACCTCTTTGTAATTAAATACATTCCTAAAGTATTTTCACGGAATTTGTATGATTCTTTTCTTTTTTTAACTGTTGGTACTTCAGAAGTACTGAGAGGCTATGGGGATCTGTTCTAAAGCCCCTTTTAACCTCCATCTGAGGGCAGAAGGAGCCTGGTTTCCATGAATTGGAAGGGGGCATCGATGGAGAGGTTGGGCTGTGTGTGTCTGTCTGTCTCCATCTCTCGGGGGGGGAAGCCGCTGGAGACGAGGATCCGAGGGCCAGTTACGAGGTAGACTTGATTGTCTAAGGCCAGTCACTGGAGGGATCCGTAGAGCGGTGGGGTGGGCGGGTGGGTGTATGTGGGTGTGTGCAAGGGGGGGAGGCTTGCAGCAACCGCTGGAGCCGGGCAGGCACAGGGGGCAGCAGCAGGGGAGAGCGGAGATCCAGGGGGAGCTGCTGGATAGGCGGAGTGTCTAAGTCCAGCCGCGGGAGGGATGGGCACTATAGATGTGTCTGTATTTCCCACTAACAGCCCTTCGTTCTGATCGGCTGGAAAGGCGAAGGGGAGGAGGCCCTTGGTCCTGTTCATATTTCTGTTGAGTGCTGTTTTCTGTCTGCGATGCTCTGCGTGTGTGTGTACTGTATATGTGTTTTGTGTGCGTGCACATGCTAACTGGGAATATGTGCTTAGGCTCACTACAGGTTGGACCTGGGGACATGGAGCTGCTGCAGCCTTGCTTCTCTTGGGCTACTGGATTTGGCAACAGGTACATTTTCTGCTGGTTGGTGCAAATGAGAGCAAACTCACAGGTGGGAAGAAGCTGTGCAATCATTTAGCCTGCTATCCTTCATAACAAAGTCCACGGTACTGCTCTGGATTAGTTCTTACATCGTGAATGCTCTTTCTTGTATTGTTCTTCCAACTAAGGGAACCAGAACAGCCTGCGAATGCCATCTGACCTGACCACAAGATAAGAAACCAGTGGGAGCTGCGCCTGCACGTACAGCTTGTGTTACCAGTTCCTCTTGATACCGACCACAGAATTGCCACTTGACTGTGGCCATGATAGATGAGATTTTATTTTGGATTTGAGTACTTACCTCCCTTCCTACTGCTTTGGTCACCTCCCCAACAATACTGAGGATTTTCAATAGCTCCATAAGAAAAGATGCAGAAATTTCTTCTAAACACATTCTGTATTACTTGTCCACGAAAACTGTCTTCATTGGAGACAGGGCAGCTTAAACAGGAAAGATAATTTCTGACCTTTATGGCTGGGGGGGTTTTTTTTTTTTTTAAAGATTAATGCCAAATTTCGAAAAACCAAATTTCTGTTTCAGACTGTATCAAAGTCCCCTTCAGATCTCTCTTTTTACCTCTCAGTCTTTCCCAGACTGCACAGAACACTGGAATCCTGAATGAGCAGAATTCATGTCACACACAGAGCAGGATGCTGACCTTTACTAACTCTGATCCCTAGACAGCATTACCAGTCCTCCTAAATTAGGCAAATTTTTAATTATGTGTGCACAGCCTTGTTCTGTCCACTCATCTATGTTACATGTTCTGCAGTTTCCTTAACGGGTCTGGTTTCAAAATGCTTTTGTGGCTTGGTAAGACGACTTTTTCACAGAGATGCTCCCGAAGGCTTTGAATTCAAGTGGCCGGTTAAGGAGAGCTTTTTTAAAATCCTTGTTTAAACTGGGTTTCTAGTAGCCACTTCCAGCCAGATGGAAGCTGCTTAGCATCTCCCAAGTGAACAGTTGCTTAAATGAGAGAGAACAGCTGCCATCCTACAGTGTCAGATTCCAGATACTGTAAGTGTCGCAGAACGTATGGTTTGCTTTAGAGCAGGATTGGATGCTCTAGCTAAGAGAGATGCTCTCGTTCAAATATGATAAAATTTAAGTGCTGGAAAACAGAAGTAGTTGTGAATCCTTCCTGGCTTATAAGTACTGACTTCAGCTACTTATCTTGAATTCTCAAGTCAGTGAAGCAGTGAGCTCTTACTAAAATACCAACAGATGCATGGACTCAAAAGGCTGTGATCCCACACAAGCCAGGTATAAGATCCCAGCAGTGTATCTGTTTTAAAGAATTACGGTTAGTATAACCATAATCTAGCTATCATTAATCTACCAGTTTCTCCGATTCCTGTCCAGTAGCTACAGAGCTAAGCTAGAACTGCTTCATGGCAGCTGTTAATAAAGTTTCTTACCCTGGAATGAAACTGTAACAGCAAAAATACAAGTCAGCTAAAGAAAATAGTTCTCTGCAGTCACACAGTTTATTAAGTAACATCCATGAAATAGCTTTGCCACAGTATGTTGAGCCTCTTGCCTTGAACTACCGCTAGGTTGATTGAAGACTGGTCTAGAGCACAAACTGAAACAGCCTCTTAGCACAGCCTTGAGCACCTATATATGAGGAAGTCTAGACTGATATATATACGTCCTGTGATGGTTTTCTTCCCTTTTCTGCACAATTGCACTGCTCTACAATGACCATTTTTTCTTTTCCATAACAAATACAAATTCATTCTCAGAGGAGCACAGAACGTGAATAGCAGGAAAAAAAACCAAACAACTTTTTACTTAAAACTCTTATTTACTAAAGCTTTGATATTGATCAAGTAGAAGCGGTGAAAGAGTATGCTCTAGCTACAAAGTTCTACTATTTAGAGCGTGTTTACCAAGCACTTCTGTTTTTCTTTCTGAAAAATCAGAATTGCTGCCAAAGCAGTTATCTAGCAGAAAGAAAATATTTATAAGCAACTGTGAATACAGGTACCAGAACAGAGTGCTGCAAAGGAATTCAAGTGAATGTTCATTAGTGATAATAAATACATTAACCCCCATCTCATTAAAATGGATAAATTGCAGCTAGAAAAAAAAAAACAAACCAAAACACTGTAGGGTGTAATTTTAAATAAATTGAGAATATTTGGGTTAAATATTAACTCTAAATGAATATTGAAGGCAGGTTTTTTAAAAAGAACGTATTAACAGTAAACTGAAGAGTTTCATACAGATCAATTTAAGAAATAGCTTCTAAAATACAATTTGGGTTAAATATTAACTTCTAAATGAAATTGAAGGCAGGTTTTTTAAAAAGAACGTATTAACAGTAAACTGAAGAGTTTCATACAGATCAATTTAAGAAATAGCTTCTAAAATACAAAGAAATAAAAAAATAAGTCTCAAATACTCCGTCAGTGGAAAATGATCAGAAATACTGTATTTGTTTATTCTTCATATGATGGTTATATGAACTGTCTCACCTTGCTTTAACACTGCATTACACAAAACATAAACCAAGTATTTTTAGCCACAAGAGATTTAGAAGTACTATATTGTGGATTCTCTACTATGTGGAATTTCAAACTCTTGCTTCCATGCCTAATTTTACATACACGATTAGGATTGCCAAAGCAGACATTAATACACACTTAAAATTTAATCTCACTTTTAAGTGATTTAAAGAGCAAGACTTCCGTTACCAATGTCTTGCACTGCAAGCTATTGAATACTCTTTTACATATGTGATACCTTTTCTTGCTGTTTGAAAGTTCCGAGCTGCATCTTCTTACCAAGATGGTCATGACCAGCTAAAGATACCTCACTGCAAAGAATGAGCCAACGCCGCAGATGAAAGCGTAGATTGTTCTTCATATACAGTGGGTGTTGTGGATCAGCCTCTAATACATCTGTTGATCACAGCCTGCTCTTCTCCTTTGCTCTCTGCTTCCTGAGGACATGATGTACCAAAGGAGAGGACGGAGCTAGTACTTGGCGCTGCTGGC